CTCACTGGCTTCCCATTGAAGTCTGGGCCCAATTCAAGGTGTTGGTGATCACTTATAAAGCCCTAAATGACTTGGGTCCCGGCTACCTGAAGGAGCGCTTACGTCCATTCGTGCCCCCCCCACCCCCTGAGATCAGCGGCAGAGGCCCTTCTCCGGGAGCCCTCCGTGAAGGACATTAGGAGGGTGAGTACCCAGAGCAGGGCCTTCTCTGTGGTGGCGCCCCAACTGTGGAATGCGCTCCCCAGAGAGGTCCGCCTGGCGCCGTTGTTATTTGCTTTTCGGCGCCAGGCGAAGAACTTTTTATTCAAGCGTCATTTTAATTGTTAATGTTATTTTTATTTTAAAGTTTTTTGGCCAGGGTGACTTATTTTATACAGTTACGTGTATTTTATATTGTTATTTATGTATTTGATTTATTTGTAAGCCATCCCAAGGCTTTGGCGAATGGGGCGGCCTAGAAATTTTCTAAATAAATAAATAAATAATAAATAAATAAATAAATAAGCCGCCCACCCGCTGGTGCGCAGGGGGCAGGGGAGGGCTTCCTTGGGGCTGGGCACGGCCGGCTGGATCGGGACTAGCAGCCTGTTCTACAGGGAAGGAGGTCTTGGTGGCGGCGGAAGCCAGGAGCTGCCTCCCCGGGCTGCGCAGATCCCCGTCCTTGAGGCGGCCGTGCCAAACTCCCAGGAACTCCAGAGAGGAGGAGAAGCGCCGCTCCGCCAACACTCCCGCCTGCCTTCGGCGGACTTTGGGGGATGCCCGGCTGCTCCCGCGCGCCTGACCAATGACGGGAACACCAAATTACGAGTGTGCACAGCCTCCCCTGTGGTGGCCCCACGGCACAAGACCCGCCGAACGGAACTCAACAAACTCCGGCAGGACAAATTCTCAGGAAAGGCTGGCGTAGCCACAGGTTATTTCACGACGTATATTCGCCATGACATTATTTACCGTTTCCATCGCCCCTTTGCTAAGCAGCCGAGGGCTGCCTTCCTTATGAGCAGAAAGGGCAGGCAGGAGGGGCTGGGGGGCTGCCAGGGACCCGGGTGAGCGAGCAAGAGCAGACAGCGAGCGAGCGCCCGGGGGGGGGTGGGCATCGGACGTCGCCGGGCTGGCGTGCCTGCCCCTCCCCAGGTGAGACAGGCGGCGACTCCGGAGGCACGCCGGCTCGCAGGAAGCGGCGGGGCGTCTGAGCCGGGCAGTGCCGGGCAAGGACTCACCAGGAAGAGGGTGCCCGGGGGGCACACGCAGCCGTCCGCGGGGCCGGGGCAGGAGGCGTTTCCCGCTGGGCTCTCGCAGGTCCGCAGGCAGGAGCCGACGGCGTAGACGAGGTCCCCGGGGCACAGGGCTGCCGGGGGGCAGGTCTCCTCCGAGCAGCTCCAGGCCCCGCCGGTGCAGATGCTGCAAGGCAGGTGGAGGTGGCGGTGGGTGGCGGGCACGGGGGGCCCTCCCACTGCAGCGGCTCCTCTCCTGGGGCGCGCTGGACCCCTCGCCTGGAGCGCTCCGGGCCCCACCCCACACCGCCCCTCCGCAGTGGCCCCCGCAGAGCGGACCCAACCCTCAGCAGGTGCACCCCAAGAGGGCCCAGGAAGGGACTGATTTTGGGCCAGAGGGAAGGGGAAAGGTGCCACCAGACCAGACAGGTGTGGGGACAGGGGAGGGGAGGGATCCCAGCGGCCCCTGCTTTTTGCAAGAGCCGAGCTGGGACCTTGGCCCTGCAGGGACGCGGGCGCCAGAGGCGGTGGCAGCGGGAACACGAGTCCTGAGTGCGGGATGCAAGGGGAGGGCAGCCTGGGGCTCCCAATGTTCCGAGAGCCTTGTGCCCGTGAGGGACCCCACGGAACGAGCACCTCGGGGGAAGGACGGGGCAGCCCCTCGGCGGGAGAAGGGGCTGCGGCAGACGTGCCGGAGCCGGAGCATCCCTTTCGTGGAGCTCTGGGCCTGCGGGACTCAGCGTCCTGCAAAGCTACCGGACACTCTTCCTTCTTTTGGCTGCCTTGGGGGATCCCGCCTGCGGCCCGAGGGGGGGCTTCCGCACGTGCGGCTTGCACGCCGCAAGGAAAAGCACCCGGGAGCTTCCACGCAAGGCGAGCCGAGGGCCGGGCACTGAACACCGAAGTCAGCTTTCCTGAGCTGGGCAGACGGCAAGAGGGGCAGCGGCCCTCGCCCAACGTCGCGAGGGCTTTGTGGGCGGTCGTGCGACGGCCGGGATCGCGAGCAATGCACATAGAGCAGCACGAAGCATCGGGCACACGTCGGGGTGCACGCTCGCACCCCGCAGCGGGGAGTCTGCTGGCAAGAGTGCGCCCGAGCTCATTTTGGCAGGGCAGGAAAGGCCTTCCCTGGCAGGACCCGCTTCATACAGAAGCCCCGAGGGCAGAGGAGGGCTCCGCCCGCAACCAGGATCCAATTGCCTGACGTTCCCTCACGCCCGGGCTGGGCTTCCTCCGGCACAATGACGGGGGCGCAGGTGAAGCTCCCACCGGCTCTCTCCGGGCAGCCTGACCGGGCAGCCTGACCGAGCCTCCCGACCCCCGGCGGCCCCATGCCAGCAGCTCCAGCCCCCTCCTCGCCAGGCCTGGCCTCTCCTGTCCTCTTCCATCCATGCCGCAGCTTCGCACCTCGCTGGGACCCGTCTCTCGGTGGCAAACCGCTTCTCCTTTGAGGGGGGCTGCCCAGCTGTGAGGGCTGGTGGGCACTTCCGGGGTGCTGTGTGACCTCACAAAGCGGCTGCTCATTCTTAAAACAGCTGCCGCGAGGACCATGGCAGGCCGAAAGCACTCGCTTTCCAGGAGGCGAAACGAAAAGCAACTTCCTCCAGGAAAGAGCCGCCGGGCGGAAGGGGAGGCCGTGCTCCAAAGCACAAATCGCTAAATAGAGATGGTGTGGAAGGCGGCACTGGCTTTGCGGCAGGCTGGCCTTCCAGTTAAAAAATACGAATACTTTTTTCCAAGCTTAAATAAAGGAGCAGAAAGGGCAGGAGTGGCAGGGCGCCTGGTGGGTGCCCGGGGAGCGCCACGCTGCAGTTCCCTCCTGGACGATAAAAATCGGAAGTCTGCTCCAGGAAAACCAGAAATTCTGAGGGCTGCGTGGATTACACGAACTGGGCCGACGTGCATCTCTGCGTTCTTCCGCACAAGCAGTGCCGCTTCCCAAAGGATGGGGCAGAAAGATGCAGAGGGAGGGAGCACCCCTGCGAGGAAGACACGCTCCGGCCTGGCTCAGCGCTGGCTCCGCCTCACCCGGAGCCCTGGGTCCCGGTCTGGGCACCGCAGTTGGGGGAGGATGCAGGCAGGCTGGGGAGGGCTCGGAGGAGGGCAGCACGGGTGATCCGGGGCTGGAAACAGCCCTGCGAGGAGGGATGGAAGGAGCTGGGTGCGCTCGGCCTGGAGGAAAGGAGACTGTGGGGGGGGGGAGCCCCTGCGAGTGCTTGAAAGGCTGCCAAAAGAGGAAGGGCAGGATCCCGTCTCGATCATCCCAGGGTGCAGGAGGCGGAATAAACGGCTGAACTTATTCAGGAAGCCAGAAACATTTCCTGACTATCAGAGCAGCACGACCGTGGAACCAAAGACCTGGGGAGGTGGGGGGCCCTCCCGCCCGGGCGGCATGCGAGACGCCGCTGGCATGCTTGAACTGGGCGTCCTGCACCGAGCGGGGCCCGGCCCCAGTGGCCCCTGGTCCTTTCCAGCTCTGCTGCTCTATGCTTCTACGACGGCTTTTTGAGATTCTGCCGATTGTTGTTCCCAGAGGCTTTCAGCGATACATGAGGACTAGAAACTGTTCTGAAAAGGCGATCGTTCGGCACCCAGTGCCGGCGGGACCCCGGCACCCCCTGGCCGAGGGAGCATGCGCTGGGTGGGAGGGACGTACCAGGTGTTGCAGCCCTTCCGGATCTCCGTGCCCACGGGATGCGCCTCGTCCCGGTACACACAGGGGCACAGCGCCGGCCGCACGCACTGCCCGTCGTCGTCCAGCACCAGGCCCTCCGGGCAGTTGCACCCGGCCACGCAGGCGCGGTCCAGGTCCTGGCAGGCGCCCAGCACCTCCACGCGGAGATCGGCACAGGTCGTGCGGCAGGGGGAGGCGCACTCCCGGTAGACCTGCCCCCCCGAGCAGAGCACCGCTGCGGGGAAAGGGGAGGCTGAGCCCATTCTCAGGGGCGGGGGGCTGGCTGCACCATCCGGCCGGCTCGGGGGGGGGGGGCAGTGCAGCCACAGTGCCCCAGACCCCCCATCAAGGTCTGGAGCAGCTGCCCCACTTCCCAGGGCCGGTGCGAGGGACGGCAGGCCCCGCGTGGGAAGGGGGCTGCCCCCTTCGCTGCGCCCTCCGTGCCGCCGGGACCAGCTGTACCCTGCCCTGGAGGGGGGCAGAAGCCTGTGGGCAGCCCCCGCTTGCGGGCCTGAGGGGCGGGGTGAACGGGGGCCGCCGCCGCTAATTCTCCCCCACGTTTCAGCGCACCTTGCGGCACGAGTGTCCTGCGCGTGGCATTGGCAGGTCCAGCCAGAAAGGGACCCCCGCCCCCCCACGCCCCGCACCGCTTCCCCGCCCCCCCTTGGCACCACCTTCGGCCCCCGCTCTGCCCCCTCTGTCTTCTCTGGACCTGGACCCATAGCCCCCCCCCCCCGCACGCTGCCAGCGCCCTGCCCGCCGGCCGGCCAGAGGGAGACTTACGGCAGACGCTCTGGTTCCTCCAGGCTGCCGGGGCGCCCTCCTGCGCGCACTGCCGGGCATAGGCAGCCACGGCGCCGCACAGGCACACCTTGCCGGCGGCGCATCCGCACACGTCCTCCAGGCAGAGCTGGTGGAAGGGCTCTCGGTCCACAAGGTCGTGGCAGGGCTGCGGGGCGGGAGGGGGCGGTCAGGCGGACGGAGGGGGGCGCCAGCTGCCACCCCAGGAAAAGCCCACCACGGGGAGACAGTCTGGAAACCGCCTGTGCCGCGACACTTCTGAGGGAGCGGATGCTGCGGCTGTGAGCCACTTTGCCCCCCGTCCCACCCCCGGAGACGCATAACTGGGGCGGCAGGGAGCAAAGGAGACGCAGAGCCTCTGGCCGCAGGCATCCCGACCGCGCGCTCACAGAGCAAGGCAACGTCCGTGCCCTTGCCGTCCGGGAGAGCAGCCCAGGTGAGCGCGTCGCCCACCCGGGACGCCTCACGAGCCACTGCAGAACAGGCGGTTTGGGGCGGCCTCTTGGCCAGGGAGCCGGGCGCCCCCAGCCAGCGAACGGGGCAGCCGTGTGCACGGCCGAATTGCTCCGTGCGCGGGACAAAGTGGAGTGGTGCGGAGGGCCTGGACGGGCGGCCCCCGTCCCCCAGCTGACAAGAGAGAGACACGGGCCTGCCGGCAAAAGGGGGGCTGTGGGGGGAACGGAGCCGCCACACTGCAAGGGGGGCTGAGGCCGCAAGGGCCAGGGGCTTCATGCGGCATTAGAGCGAGAGAGGGAAAGGGCAAACGGAATCAAATGCTTCCTGGGAGGAAAGGAAGGAAGGAAGGAAGGAAGGAAGGAAGGAAGGAAGGAAGGAAGGAAGGAAAATGGCCAGCCACTAATTTTTCGCTGAGGCGGAAACTCCTTCTGTCGTCTTGGAAGCCATTCCGGCAGAGGAAATGCAGAAGAAAGGAAACTGAGGCAGGGCACTGGGGCCCCAAGACCCTCTTGGTGCCTTCGCAGTTCGAGTGTCGCACCAGGGGCAGCAAGCCGGTGTCCTGCAGGTGGACTACAGTGCCCATAAACCTGGCTGTTGGCCACGCTGCCCTGGTCCAGCAGCGGGAGGGACCCCGGTGGCCTGCCTCCGCTCGCAGGGAAGAGGCTGTACACACGTGCCTGGCTTGGGGGACGGCGCACCGGCAGGGACGGAGGCGGCACCCCGGGAATGCCGAGAAGCCCCCCGCCACCCCCAGGCCGGACGGGCGACTCCCCCTCCCTGACGCGCCAGGCGCCCCCCGCTGACCTGGAAGGAGGGGCCATGCAGGACGGCGCAGGCCGCCTGGGCGAGCGGCCTCTGCTGGGCGAAGGTGCTGCAGGTGTCGAAGGCGAGCCCCCCGGGGGGGGGCGCAGTCAGGGGAGGCGCGGAACTTGCCGGCGAAGGCGGCCACACTGGCCTCCACGTCCCCCTCCGGGGTGGTGAAGTCGTCCTGCTGGTTCCAGTTGTAGGTGCCGCAGAGGCCCCGCACCTGCAGAACCGGGGCGGGGGAGTCGGGGCGTGGGCCTGAGCCTGAGCCGCCCTCCTGGCCCGGCACTGCCTGGCAGCGGCAGCAGCTCCATGGGAGGACGGGCCGCAGTTCTCCAGCCTCACCTGGAGGCACAGGCAGGGACCGGCCCAGGCCTCCTGCGGGCAAGGCTGGGGCTTTTCCGTGGGAATCCGGCCTATCTTGAGGTGGCGGGGTCTTAAATCCCCCCGCCAAGTGTCCTGAGCAAGCCTCTTCCGTTTACCTGTGATGACCTGAAGGCTCTCATGTGGCTCGGAAGGTGCCGGCACCGTTGCCAGCTCACCTGGCTTTTGCTCGCCAGGACAGTGTCCCCCCGCCCCCGCCGCGCCGGCATTTCAACCAGGTGGACACGCTGCATGTGCCACGCAGTCGCAGCCTCATTAGCAGCGGGCGGTCAGTAAATGTGACCCCTGGAAAGGGCTCCCCGGGGTCCTCCCCCCGCCGGGCCCCCTCCCGGGCTCGGCCGCTCGTAAAGGGGCGGAGGGGGGCCGGGCGCCTTCCTGGCTCACCTTGTGGGCAAAGCGGGGCTGCAGAGTGATGTAGACGGCAGGGAACTCCAGGCCCCACAGCACGTGGGCCCCAAAGGCCTGGAGGAGCAGGAAGGACGCAGAGGCGCGCCGCACGGACAGGCCGGCGCTGGCGAACGGGAGGTCCACCTCCTGGCCGTTGACAGAGACCTCCCCTGGAGCCGGAAGGGGAAGCGGCGGCTGAGAGAGGAGCGCCGAGCAGAGCCCTGCGACCCAATGTGGTCAATTCCCGTGGCCAAGCAAGCCCGGAAGCAACAGAGCGAGTCGAGGGGACAGGGGGCAGAGGCAGATCTGGGCTGGCGCCCCAGCGCCTCCTGTCACGGGGAGGGTCTGCCTCCACCGAAGGCCCGAAGCGCGGCTGCCCGCCTGCACGGACGAGCACCGGCAGCCAAGCAGAGGAATCGTGGGAGCTGCATTCGGGCAACAGTGGGGTGGCCGGGAGGGTGCCCCCCCAGTGGGGGTGCTGTGGAATGTTTCTACCCTCCCGTTCCACAGGAGGAGGATGGCCAAATCCAGCCCCCATGCGCCTCCCCTGGGGGTCACACCTCTTTTCCGTGGCCCCCGGTCGCTGGAGTTTCTTCCCTGGCTCCAGAGACGGAAGCGCCTCCCTCCCCGGTGGCCGCAAGAGCCCCACGCGAAGCTCCCTGGCCCCACCAGAGTGGCACTCGGCCTGCCAGCAGAGAGGTTCTGCACCCCGGCTCTGCGGCCACTCGGCCTCTTCCGGGCACCCTCCAGCTCCCTGAGAAGGCAGCTCGGCCTCGTCCCAGGCCCTGCCCTCCCGCACGGTTCTGCCCCAGGGCCACCTGCAGCCCCGCTGGCTTGCCAGGGGCCGCCTCCGTGGCGCCACCGCTCCAGGGCTCCGGCCCTGCTCCGGGTGAGCGCTGGAACCCAGACAGGGGCCACGGTCCCTCCCCACTCACCTGCCCGGGACAGCCGGGCCGAGACCTCCTGCACGGTGACGGCCACGGCGTGGAGGCAGCTGCTGCCGCCCCGGCTCCCACACGCCTCTTTGTGCTCGGCAACTACCTGGAGCTTCCCGTCCATGAAATCCTGTGGGGAAGAAGTGGGCCGGCCTTGGAGGTGTGGGCTGGGCCCCCCAGGCCGGGGGGCCCGGGTGTCTCTGCCGGCTCTCCCACGGCCACCTTGGCCAGCCGCGCCAAGCCTGACCATGGCAAAGCTCGGAGAGAGCCAACGGGGGAGCCTCTCTCCTTCGCCAGGAGAACAAGGGCAGCCTGCCGTGGGGGGGCTCCCCGGAGGTCACCCCTGGAGCCCTCCCCCCATCACTGCCCTGGCCTTCTGGGGTGACCTGCCCAGAGCGAGGGCCCCTTCTCCCAGGCCCACTCCAGGGGGCCCTGCCTAAGGGGAGGGCCTGCTTGGTGGCGGCCCCCCTGCAGCGGAATGCCCTCCCCAGAGCGGTTCACCCCACCCGACCTTGCGGTCTTCTCAGTGCCAGGTGGAGGCCTGTCTGTGGCTACGAGGTTTTTGGTCCTTCATTTTAAAAGCGGTATCACTCCATTTTTAGATCTTTGCAAGCTTTCTGGCTTTTACTTTCTCCCTTTTCATTTTCTGCTTTAAATTCTTGAAGTGTTTACATTACACTTTATCATACTCTGCAGGTTATGGTTTCAATGCCTGTGAGCACGCGGGGAACTCCAGCTGGGGACTCCATCCACCCGCCAGTCTTTTCCAGAAAGGGCTGCAGCCCGGAATACCTTGCTGCAGCCTTCCTCAGCCTGGCGCTCCCCAGACTCCAGCTCCCATCGTTCCCACCCAGCTTGGCCACTGGAGGGCACCGACTGCAATCCCCCGCGCTGGGGAGGAGCGTGGGCGTTGCGATCAAGCACGTCCGGAAGGCCCCAGGCTGGGGAGGGGCCCCGCGCCGCCTGCCTGCGAGCCCCGGCTGGGCTCCAGTGACGGCCCTCCACGCCCTGCGGCCCCGGGGCCCTGCTGGGGGCCTTACCTGCACCAGGATGTACTGGCAGGTGCCTTGGAAGGAGTAGCGCCTGCCGTCAAAGGTCAGGTAGTGTAGGTCGCCCAGCACGGCGCACTCCGCGGCGCACTGGTCCCGGGTGCAGCTCCAGCGGCCTCCGCCACACGTGCTGCGGGGACAGGCGAAGGGGGCCAGGTGAGGGCAGGGGGCACGCCACGCCTGAGCCGCCCCCTTCGCCCGTGCTTCGGACCCCCCTGGCCGCTGGCCAGCCCCGTGTGGCCCTCCTCATGCCTCGTCTCCCGACCTGCCTTGGAGTGGCGCCTCCTCCTGCCTTCAGCTCGGCGGCCAGAGCTCTGCCTGCTCGGCACGCCCCCCGGCCCTTCTCCGTCCCACCAGCAAGGCAGCCGCGCCTGCCCGGGATCCTGGGCCACGAGGACCCGCCAGGGCTACGCTGGCCCTACCTGTCCGTCTCAGGATCCGGAGCGCCGGGTGGCATTCCCCTGCCCACAACTCGGGCATTCCGGGCACCCCAGAAACTCAGCCATGTGCCCCACGGGAGACTTGCAAGCAACAGGGGTGCTGCTCAAGCGGGGGGGGGGTTCAGCACTTCCCCCACATTTCTTTCCACTGTGCCCCCTTTTCACTGTGGCTAAGGAGGGCACCTGCTGGGGCCTTCGTCCTCCCTGCGTCCTCAGGGAGAGCGGAGACACCTGCTAGAAACCCCTGTGAGCCAGAGGATGCCTCAGGCTTCACTGGACTCCCCAGACGCAAGACACCCCTTCCGTGGAGACGTCACCCCCTCCAGGCCGCGGGAGGCAGCAGATGCAGAGCAGGAGAACGTGCTCGAAGGACAAGGCAGCTCCGCGAGGGGGGAAGCGCCTGCCAACCTACACAGGGATCCAGAAGGGCTCCGCATCCCGAGCGGAGCGAGTCCCGGCGGGCGGCATGGCTCTGTCCCGGGTCCTGAAAGGCCTCGCCTTCCTCGCCACCCGGCTTGTCTCCGCTTCCCCCTCCGGTACCTGTGGCTGCTTCAGACCGTCAGCCTGAGCACTCGGCCTGGGCTAAGAGGCACCCCAGGCGTCGCCATGCCCACCCGGGACTGCCAACCCCGAGGGAACCCGTCCCACGCGAGACTCACCACCGATTGCAGCGCTGCTGGAGGGTCTCTCCCGGGGGGTATTTCTGGCGCCGGTGGAAGCAGGGGCACTGGCTCTCCGGCACGCACTCGCCCCCCTCCAGGTAGAGGCCCGGGGGGCACTCGCAGCCGCTCACGCACTCGCCCCGGCAGTGGCCCTCCTCCGCGGCGCCCACCGCTGCGCAGCTGGCCGGGCAGGAGGACACGCAGTCCGAATACCGCTTCCCGTGCACGCAGGACTTTTCTGTGGGGGGGGGAGGGAGGAGGAGAAGCGGCCGCACGATGAGGCCCCCCGGGCAGAGAGCGCTGCCCTCGGAGGCACACGCCTCGCCGCCCCCACGCACCCCAGCCTCTTCAGCGGGGCCTGAAGGCCAGAGGGGCCCCGCCTCCCCCGCAGGCCCAGCCCTCCGGCCCACGCACCCCGGCCGGGGCACGGAGCGGACGCCCGAACATCCCCAGCCGCTTGCGCAGCCTGACGAGGCCTGGGAAGGGCCGCAAACGGAGCGGGGCCTGGGGCTGCTCCGACGGGGCAGGGCTGGGAGAGGAGGGCGGGGAGCCGGGCGCCTGAGCGAACAGCCCTGCAGGCGTGGAGAAAGCGGAGAAAGCGGCCAGCGAGCGGCCCTCCTCCCTCGAATGTTGCGCCCTCAGCCTCCTCCCGACCCGGAGGGCTGCATGCGGGACGCTCGGGGCAGATCCGGGGCAGCCCTTCCGTGTGGACTGAACCGCTGGCGCAACGCCCAGGCGGCCTGGCCCGAAGCATGGCGGGGGGGCTGGCTACCGGCCCGGGGGCCATGCGCTGCCTCGGCACCAGGGCAGCCTGTTGGGGAACGTGGGGGAGGGAGGCGGGGGACTCCCTCTGTGCACAGCCAGGGCGCCCCCCCCCCGCCCGGTCGGGCCCGCACTGTTCGCCTTGCGCTTCTCTTAGGCTCCGACGGGGACGGGCTCACGATCCGCCTCCTTGGCAGAACCGCCGGGAGGTGGCATTTGGGGGCACGTGGAGGAAGCGCGGCCGCCCATGTGGGGGTTCCCACTGTGTGGGGCCCGCAGAGCAAGAGGGGCCGGGGGAACGCACTTCCGGGGCCCCCCTCCCCTCCCCTCCCCTCCCCGCCGCGCTCACCGCAGAATCCAGGGCGCCGCCAGCTGACGAAGACGCCCAGCTGAGCGCACTCGCGCGCGTAGCCGGCCAGGGTCTCGCAGACGGCCCCCTCCCCGGCCCCACTGCAGTGCACCTCCAGGCAGGCGTCGTAGAAGCCGCTGGGGTCCACCTGCCGGGAAGAGGAAAGCTGTGCCAGGTGGGAGCACAGGTGCGTGCGGAGCCTCCTGGGGCCAGGGATGGAGCCTCTTCCCCCCAAATTTTGGAGACGTCCTGGGGGGGGGGTGAGGCCAAAGGCCAGCAGGTGGGGTCAACATGGCAGAATCACGCGCGATCGATCGATCGTCCAGCTGAAAGGCTCCTGCCGCGGAAGCGCGGCCCCAGGAAAGGCGCTCCCTCCTTTCAGGGTGACCAAGAGCCGAACGACCCCCAAAGTGGCGGTTCAGGAAAGGGCCGGGGAAGGGCACGGCCACCGGGGCGCTCCCAAGGGGCCGGATTGGGACCTCGGCCCGTCCGTGAGCAGGGGAGGGGCAGGGCAACTCCGAACCTCGGCGTGGCATCGGCCAAAGGGCTCCGACAGCAGTGCGCGGCACACGGAATCCGCCTCCCGCTGGCCCCCCGTGGCGTCGCAGCTGCGCCCCTCCTCGGCGGCGTCCTGGCAAGGGCCCTGGGCAGGCGAGGGGGGAAGTGCTTCGCAACCGGGGCCACAAGCCCCTCCTCACTGCTCAGGCGAGCAGAAGCAGCAAGGCGGGGGGGCAGCTGGGGGGGCAGGAAGAGGCTGCCCCCCCGCCTCTTCCACAGGCCCCCTGCAAGGAGGTGGCATGGCGCCCCCTGGTGGAGGGCCCTTCCACGGGGGGCCTGCTGGTGAGAAGCACCTCTCCCTGCCCCTCCGTTGCCGCCTCTGTGCCTGAGCACCCCCCCACGTTTTCCTGGCGGGGCCCCACAGCAGCCACGACGGAATGGCCACCCCTCTACAGGGGCCTGCACAGATCCTCCGGCCCCCCCGGCCCCCGGGCGAGCCATCCCCACCAGAGCCCCTTCCCCAGTGCAGCCATGGCAGCCCACCCCCCGGCCTTGCCTGGCACCTACCGAGCCGGCGCCGGGGATGCGCCACGAGTTGCCAAAGCTGGCCGCCAGCACGGCCATGTCCCCTCCCGCGCGGAGGAAGTCGTCTGCGGACAAACAGAGAGCAGCTGCAGGGGGGCCCTTCCAGCCCCCCCAGCCCGCTCTGCAGGCAGGAGCGATGCCGGAGCACGACCTGCCCCGGAGGGGGGGTACGGGGAGATGGCTTTTCAGGGGCTCGCAGGGTTGGGCAGGTCTAACGCAACCCCGACCAGCATAGTGACAGTGAAGGGCTTTTCTTCGGGGGGGGGGCTTGATGTCTTCTGTTGGCCCACGGGCAAGAGGCTGCCCCGCCTGCTTCCGCTCGGGCTCCCAGCCGGCCGGCCAGAGCCCGCGGGACCCCCCGCCCCCCCCGGAGCAGTCCCCCCCGTCCGGGGCCGGCACGGGAGGCGGGCACCCGGGCGCGTTACCGGCCGCGTCGCCGTTGTAGACGCCGCACAGCCCGCGCGTGGCGCCCCGCAGCTCCGCCGCGACCGTGACGTGGACGGTGCTGCGCCCGTCGAACTTGACCCGCACGCCCAGGCCGCTCTCCACGAGGACGAAGTCGCCCAGCCAGCGCACGCCGATCCCTGCGGGGCGGGGGGCGGGGGCGGGGGCGTGAGCGGGCGGCGGCCGGGGGGCCCGGGCCCCCTCCCCACGCGAGCGCCCCAGCGGCGCCCCCGCCCCGCAGCCGCACACGGGCCCCCGAAGGAGTCTCCCCGTGATGCCCCCGCCCCGCTGAGGAGGAGGAGGAGGAGGGGCGGGCGCGCCGCTCGCGGCCAAGGGGCAGCCGGGCCGGGCCGCTCCGCCCCGCGCCCAGGGCGCCCC